TTTGCTTGCTTGATCACTTGCTTATTTGCTTGTCTTGTGATTTAATATAAATATAAATCATTTAATATAACCTAAATAAATAATCTATGTATTATTTGTAAATAATAATATAAATGTGATACAAATAATAATATAAATATAATACAAATAATAATATAAATAATAATATAAATAATAATATAAATAATGATATAAATAATATAATATGAGATATAAATATAAAGATCTTAACTAATTAAAATATAAACATGTATTCTCAAAATTATCCAATAAGATTAAATGATAATTTTGACTAATAATTAATGTGAAATTCCATTATACAACAATATCTCTTTGAATAATTATTATTAGTAGTAACTATTTTATATCAAATTGTTGCTCTTATTTCTGGCTACAACTTTATTTATAAATATAGTTTATTGTTACTATGGCAAAATAAATATTTACTATAAAGTAACTAAAGTGAATTAAAATTATAAAAATCAAAAATAATTTTTAAATCTAAATATCTTTTTGAATAAACATTTTCAATATCAACTATCTTATACCAATTTGTAGCTCTAATTCTGATCTACAACTTTACTTAGAAGCTTATTGAACATTTACTTGAACTCGAATCGGACTTTTGGTCTGGTTCGAGTCTGGTTCGAAGTTCAAACCAAACTTGAACCAGACTTTTAATTGGGTTCGAATTTTCGAACCAGACTTTTGGTCAAGTTCGAGTCCGGTTCAAGCTCGAACCGAACCAGACTCGAACCGAACCAAACTTTTTTTCGGAATCCTACCTTAATGTGATAAATTTTCGGAATGGAAAAATATCGGGTTATAGGGTCAAAGGTTTCAAGATTTAACGTAAAATTTAATTTACCGGATTTACGCCATAAATCTGGTCGGGATCAGCAAATTTTTTTGGCTGGTATTGTAGCCAAAAATCTAAACCATTTAATAAATTGTTTTACTAAATTTTCTACAGGGGTAGGGGAGGTTTATGCGGTAAATTACGGTATTATGCAAAAATCTAAAATTCTCCATTTATGTCATGCTGGTTTTGGCCCAATTTACCTGTAATTTGGGTTATATTGAGTTTATAATTTAAGTTTACAGTCAAGGTTTTCGTTAAATCGAGTTTGAATATGGTGCAAACGGTCTAAAGACATCCAATATAGCCAATACTTTAAACTGTAAAGGATTTGCATCCAAACACTTTAACCACAAAAAAAATACGTTGCTAAATAACTTTTGATGAGAACTATAACGTAACGTATTTTTCTTGTGATTCAAGTGTTTGGATACAAATTCTTTACAGCTTAAGATATTGGATATATATTCCGTTGAAATCGGTTGATTTCGCCTGGTTCCACACGAGAAATGGAACACGGGAAAAAGTAATCATTTTAAACCTTTGATATTTTTTAAAATAATTTGACAATAGATTATTTTTAGTCGTTTTTGTGAAATTGAGTGATTTAGGTCAAAATTTCAATTAGTAAATTTCTCACATTGAACTTCTTTTTTTTATGACAAAAAACCTAATTTGAAGCACTAATTAAAAATATGAAATCTGCTTACATACCAAAATTTATCGAGATTTAGATCCCGAACCTAGAAGCATATAAAGCTCGATAAATTTGAGCCGATTTTGGTATGTAGATTTCATTTTAATTGGTGCTCTGTAGGTTGAAATTTAATTGAAAATTTTGGATTTAAACCACTGTTTCATAAGAACGACTAAAATAATATGTTGTCAAATTATTTTGAAAAAATACTAGAGGTTTTGAGGTTTAAAATGAATCCTTGTTCATTTTGTTTGGATTAATAGTTGGATTTAACACTCAATTCATGTTGGATTTGCAAAAATTCAATGTATATATTAGATAAACATCAATTTATTACATTATTTTTATCAATCAACTTTTAGCGTAATATCCTTATGCCATTCAAATAAATCCACTTGTATTTAATAAACATCCGAATTGTATTATTTAAATAAAAAACGTACTAAATAAACATTATGACAAATATTCATGTCAATTCTCAGCTTAGTAAATTCCCTTGAATTTATCAAAAAAACATAATTTATCCCAAAAAACAATGTTTGTTGATGTTTTAATTACCCGCCGAAATATTATTATTTATCAAGATAACCAATCCAAGAATAGACAACAATGAACGACTTTCATTTTCTGTGCGAAGAGATTTTTTATTTCGAGTCAACGAGTTAAAAAGCTCGAGTCTTTGTAAAGGGAATAAATAACAAACGTGGTGAAACCAGCAACATTGTTTACGCCAGTCAATTATTCTCTACTGTTACTGTTACCGTTACTCCTACCTCTACCACTGTCATTGGCTTTTGCACAAGTTCTCTTTCCATTTTCATCTCAGCTTCCTAATTACAAACAACGACGACCACAACAACAATACAATCATAATCATAAACAATGTATGCCGGATCCAATTTCATGCAATTATGATGATATACGGCGGCAAGATGGCGGTTCTTTGCTGCTGTGAGGCGTGAAAGGGCGGGCTTTAACAATTATTACTAACGTGATAACGAACTCATTGATTAATGAATAAAGGGAAAAGGAAATGTAATTTATTATTTCGAATAACTGATTCTAATTGAATGATTGGTCGTAATAATTAACTTTATTATTTTCTCAGCATTGTTCTCTTTTTCCCTTGCTCGCGCAAAGCGACGCAACGCTACGCGAAGCACAAAAAGTCATCAATCAATGATAATAAGAAGACAATTGTGAAAATTGAGGATTAATCACAAGTAAAAGCAGTCCAAGTAAAGACCATCTCCTCATGTTCGTTCATACAAGAGACAAAGAGCGCGCAAGTAAAAAAAAAAAAATTCGACGACCAAAATCAAATAATTGAATGAATGAACGTGAATGTTTAGTTTATCGATAAGTCGCGCCAAATAACTTTATGCAAGATTTCTATTCTTTCTCTCCTCTCTCATGCTCTTTCTCCCTACCATCTGAAACCTTTGAAATTTATTTATATTGTATTAAACTAAACTTATTCATTCACAATAAACCTGCTGATTTAATTGTAATAACAGATTCGGTAACTAAACACAATAGACGATGCGTGTAACCAGCATAATCAAATAAAACTCCACTTGGTCTTATAAATTCGGGTTTATGCAGCAGCAATTAACCAAAATCGGTTTTCCATCTTTTTTCTCCGTATAAACTTTATTGTTAAACAATGACAGAACAATGGCATTAGGTACGTAAATAGATGTCACACGCTCATAATCAATCGATCAATAGGAATAACTAAAAGTGTGCTTGTGTAAGATCAAAAATGTCAAATTTGTTGAAATTAATGAAATTTAAACCGAAAACTGCCGATCATTCCCACGACGGTAACGACAAGCTGAAAGGAGAAAGAGCGGGAGATGAGAATATAGAAAAAAGAAACTAAGTAGAGAAGGAAGAAGGGGTGTTATTTGATTATGCACAGCGATAGCAATATTAATGACGGTTCATTATTATTGAACAAAAAATCAAGCCTCACATTAAGAAAATGTTTGTGCACAGGATCCAATGTCATTCTTTCCTCTCGTTCGCTATTTAATTCATTCATTCCTTTTTCTCGCGTTAAAATGCATATAAATAGCAAGTAGAGCAAAGAAAAAAAAGGGGCTAACCCAAAATAATTATTAAATAATGAACGAACAAAAATATGTGCGCAGACAGTGCACATACTCTGGATAATAGCCCACGCATATTCCATTGTGAATATAACTGTGCGTATGTATGTTAAAAATGGCTTATTTTGTTGAAGTTTATTTAGTCCCTTTTCCCTCTAGTCACTAGTATCTTGAATTTAATTTTAATTTTCACAAAGAAATCGTTAGTTGTCCTCCATATCAAACTATTTTTTTAAAAATATTTATTTATTATATTTGCCATAGATTATTAAAATTATTCAAGAAAATAAATGCTCATAGGAAAGATGCAGTAATATTAATACAAATGAATATATCTAAGATAAAATAAAATAAAATATAATATAATATAAGATATAATATAATAGATTTTGAATGATATAATATTATAGATTATATAATGTATGTCGTAAAATATATTATAGCGTAATTTTTTAAGTTTTGGATATTATTAAAACTTATTTTCTTCTCCTTTGTCAAAATTTTTGACTATCAAAAAAAATTTTTTTAAATAAATTTCCGTCCATGTATTTGTGCCTAATTTTACATCTATATGTAAAAGTACAATATGACATATAATTATATATTATATGTATGTGCAATATAAATTATGTATAAGAAAAATCATATAAAAAGGATGAATAAATGGATGGGTGGATGTATGTATGTATGAATGTATGTATGTATGTATGTATGTAAGGTGTTTAGGTAATGTGGAATGATGAGTTTGGTTTTTTTCCATGACGAAGTAATATTATGAAATATGAAAACGATAAGAATTAAACGAAAAATAGATATTAAAAAAAATGACAATGATAATTAAAAACGAATAGTATGAATAAGTCGAATGTCGAAAGATATATATGTAAAAAGAATAATAAACATTGAGAATAAACGAACAGAAAAAGAACAGAATGGGAAGAAAGAACAGAACGAAAATCGGGTAATGGGAATACCAAGCATGTATACTTGAAAAAAAGGGAATGGTGCGTGCATTTACATAAGTGAATATATAATGAATAATTAAATATCTCAATAATAGTTTATATACTTTATTTTTTTAATTTTTAATTTTCTTTTTGTCACATAAAAATCGTTGATAATATAAAATAATAAATATAATGATAAACAAAAATAATAAAAGTAGATGTTGTGATCTTCAAATGCTGAATCTTCTGTGTGAATTGATTTGCGTGCTTTGATTTTATGAGTAATTTTCTTTTCGCAATTAATTTCTACACACAGAATTTATAAATGAGTGTCATACTACTAGTGTAGTAGTATAAATTATGGACGATGCAAACAGACTATTTCAAGAACGATATCCGCCTTCTCTCATCCCTTGATTCGGATCACGTGTTATAATCGGATTGCCGACGCTGCATTCACAATTCGTGTAATGATTATTAAACGAAGAATATTGATGATGATCATTGCTGTTCATGTGTCTATAATCGTTTTCTTCGGGCGGAGTCGATGTGGTCATTGGTTGATGATTGGAAAATGGAGGTGGTAATACAACCGAGAAATTGGGTAAAGTTCCCCTGTCACGCGTATTGAGTGGCGGACTTGGGTGATGCATATTGTTATTATTGGACTCGAAACGAATAATTTCTTGGGACTGGATTGATATCTGATAATTTTGATTTACATTCTGTGATAATTAATCATTAATTATTAGAATGACTTAATAGAATAAAGAAATAAAGAAATAAATGAATGAATCAAAATAAAAAAATTACCTCAATCAATTCAGACGCAGGATAGAAAGTTCTAACTGCTATGAGCACACCTAGAAATACTTCCTCGATTTCATTTTGGTGGAAATATGCCAATCTTTTACAAAAGGAGGAAATGTAAATAAGCATTTTAATAATGATAATAAGGCGCAAATGGACAATTCAGGAATTTTAAAAGTGATCTTCTCTGCAGTGTAATACAATTATATAATGGTTTTGCACACATGCATATACCAAAAGAGTATTTTCAACTGTAGGAACGCCTGTCGAATGAATGTATGCTCGTAGGCTTAATACGTACTTTGCATCATCAGATTCGTAAAAACTTTTAATTTCTGCGTCAAGTTTTATATCTTGTTTCTGTAACTGACAACTTTCTGACTCCAGATTTGCGAGTCGTTCTCTTAACTGAGAGATTCTTCGTGCATAATTATCTTCATGATTGCTCGTAAGTTTAGGTACACTATTATTTTAAAATGCGTTAATATTAGCATATACTAATAATAATCTATTATAAACTAATATAATCTTATAAGCTTATAATCGTATTATATTATATTAGTATATTAGTTTATAATAGTAACAAAAATGGGTTTATTACCTTCGTTTCACGTGATTTTTCGAGTTCTTCTCGAGCATTCCGATTCCCTCCAAGACATTAGTAATGTCGTAAATGCGACGTTTTTGAACGTTTAGATTCTCGGCTGCTGTGTTCAGGTCTAAGTCGCCGTCGCTGGATTGGTCCAGAAGATCCCAAAAATCTTTCGTTAACTTTGTTAATGAGTTATCGAATCGGCAGGAAGTACTATTTGCTGAAATTGAATTGCCAAGTTCAGCTGGTTTCGAATATATCATTATTTTTGAACAAATTTCGAGAATTTAAAAAGCTTGCTTACAATTACTATTTCCCTGCTGGCCTGTAGACATTTCAATTGTCGTGGCCTCGTTATTGCCAGTGTCGCTGTTAGCGTTATCTCTGCGCTAAATAAATGGAAAAGCATCGAAATATTAATATTTGTTGAATTAACGTTTTTACTGTGGCTTCACTTAAAAAAATGATGTATCCCGTTACCCTTCGTGTAATTTCTTGCTGTTTCCTTCCTGTGGTTTTAGAAAAGTCCATGTTTGATGCAAGAGAAAACAAAAAATTGACGAATTGTAAATTTATTTTCCGTAACGTTTGACTTTTAAAACCATAAAGAGAAAAAAGAGGAAGCCAATTAGTATTTTATTATTCTTATTACCTCCAACATGACTTCTCGTTACCGGAGGCATTTTTTATTAATTAGAGAATGAACAAATAAAAAATAAAGAACGAGAAAAGCGAGGATGGGAAAAATAACGAGGAAAAGGGAGGAGAGAGGATAAAGAGAGAAGAACCGATTTTTCGACTTACCAACTATCAAAAATCCAATTAGTGGTGTCTATTTAAATTAGATCAGTCGCATGCAGGAGACTAAAAGTAGGAGCGAATTTCGCAATATCGTTTTTTATTATTTCTATATTGTATTTAGATGTTATCTTTTTTTCTCTTTTTTGATTTCTTGATGGTTTTTTTTTTTTGGCGAGCCTGATTCCTTTTTATACATATTAAGTCTCATAGAATTATAAACGACAAATATTTACATCTAGATGTTGAATGGACATCGATGGAACGGACGAATGAACAAATTCAAGGAAACATAAGAAAGAAAGAGACAAGGAAGCATTTTTTTTTAGAGTCTCATCACTAATATTATTCTTATTGTTGTGATTGTGGTTATAGTCTTGCATATATTCGGATTTTTTGATAACAATGACAAAATAATCATTATTAATATTTTATGTATATAAATATAAATATATATATATATATATATTTATTTATGCGTGTATATATTTTACATGTTATGTATGTATGTTAAATAAAACGCGATAAAATTAACGACGCGTTTGATCAATTTGCCGTTTTCTAAATCAGGTCCCATATTTTTTATTTGGATCAAGAATTTTATTATCGTTATTGTTAATTTGTTGTCGTGCACGCATTATAGCCGCTATTTATTACTACTTTTATCATACACTGTAGTATGTAAAAGGTAATGAATAAGGTTTTTGTGTAATTTCAGTAGAATCTGTTTTTATTATTAAATAAAACATTGATAATATAAATGTAACATAAAGCATTAACAGCAGCAAAACAACATAACATGACGTGAACTACTTACTTATTACATCAATTACAACAAGGTTTCATTCAATGAATTAAAAGTTTGTCGAAAATGTCGCAGATTTGTCATACCAAAAAAAAACAAGTATCAGGTATGTTATGTTGTGTGTATGTTTCTTGTTTGATGCGCGCTAAAGCCAATCAATTTCATAATAAACTGGCATTTAAACAGGATTTTGTTGCATCATCGTCATTGTCATCGGCAGCACCGAAAATTTTTGTATTATAATTTTACCATATTCAAACACAAACACCCGTTTTATTTGCCAATCAGATTTTACTTCTGCATAAATAAATTCCATTATGTCTTGATCGATTGGATGAGAATTAATCGAACAAGGATAGACAAAGCGTTAAGGAGAAATCACCGAAAAAACAGATGTGTTCGAGAAATAAATAATGGAAACGTGGGTGGTACTATTGTTCGGATTTCATCTAATGTACTTAGTTTCTCGGACATGCACCGAACAATGATTATTCCGTGATCAGTGGTTAGAATTTTATACAATGGTAAATTTTATCAGTGGCTGATTAGTAGTTCTGTTACGTCATTGTTTGCGTGTGAACTTGTGTTTGAAACCTTTTTTTTTTTTATTTTTTTTTTCTTACGTGGTGATAAATGAGGAAATTCTTGGCAACATGTTCATTTTTGTTGCCTATTTAGTTACTTTATGTTCTAATTTTAATTTTCTAATTTTAAACGTTAAATTAACCATTGTTTAAACTTTATAATTTATGCTTACTTTTCTTCGTATTAAAAAAGGAGAGTCACAAAACTTTAATTGGTGCAGGATTTAGTGTCTGAAACAGCAACAATAGCAAAAAATTTATACCTGTGTGATCTTGAGAATAGCGTGGGATGATGACTAGCTGATATCGAAAAGTGACGCAACATGTGTTCCAATTATGATTCCTCTCATTGGGATTAGTAAGCGGATGCGAAAATTCTTATGCAAATTTACATGCTGTGTGATTTCGTAAAATTCTGAAACTCGTCTTTTTACTCCTTTCCTCGCTCGCGAACATTCTTATTACCGTCCGTTATCTGAAGTCCCCAACCCAAATCAAATCACACTTGCATAAAACGTAAAACTGTTTATTGGTTTTTTCCCCAATTATTAATTTAATTATTAGTTCTATCATTAATGCACCAGGTTTCATTTAATTGTATTGCATCTATCGCTATTGTTTGTCACCCATAAAAGGCAACGCACATCATAAGATCATTGTTCAAAAAGTAAATGAATTCCACGATTTCTACAATAACCCATTATCCTTTTTTCTATTTTTGCTCGTTCCCTTGTCTTTAACAGCCTTGTTCCGAACAATAGCTATTGTTCTAAATCTAGTATATTAAATTAATGGAAATTAAAGCAACAACAACGAAATCGGATCAGCCGATCACAATTCATTAATACAACTAACAATGGACGAATTTATTAATAAGATGCCCACAGTAAATAACGATTGCAACTAACAAATAAGGATTTCGAATAACAAACAAGGATCATTATTAATTTTTTTTTACTACGTGAAGATCTTACACAAAAACACAATCAATTTAAAAAAAATGTACGTGTAATAAGCTAAAACCAAATCGCGTTTGATACGCGTACTACATAAAGTCGTGTCGATCACACATTCTTGCATAATCTTACGGACTTAAACACGGGGTGGACAAAATCGTATTCTTATTGATAGAATATTGTGTTATACATCGGGTAACTGATGAATAATTATGGTTTTTTAAGTTTTTTTGTGTAATACTTTATACTTACTTTCGAAACTCTTGATGACATCTTGATCTCAATCATAAAAACTGGTTTTTTGTATTTACGGAACTGCTTCAAATAATGTCTAAAAATTAGTGATAACAGATGCAAAAGAGTTTGTTATAACCCAAATTCAGTCCATGCTAAGAAGTTGTCTTAAAATATATTTCATGAATCTAATATATTGCCAAGTTCTCTATATGTTGTTATGATATGATATGATATAATAGTATCCTTTATATGGAAACTTCTTATTCGCATAAAGAAAAATCACTCAAATCCACAAAAAATCATATTTACTTTTTCATGTGCTCAAAAAAGAACCTAATCAGTTTTTCGCAATAATTTTAATAATTTTCTCGAGTCGCGCTAAACTAGTATTTAATTATGATTACAATCTCGATTTATATTATACACTTCTCTGGGATCAATAAAGAATAAAACATTTGTTGTTTCCCAAATGTTCGTACTAACAGTTATGCTTAATCATAAGCAGTACTGGTCTTCTTGTTTCATATACATGTACCTAGGCAACATTCGCGAACTAGATATATACTGTCTTTGCATATAATAAACTTCTGAGGATGATATCATCAATGAGCTTCTTTTTGAAAAAACGGTAATTAGCTCAAATTGAGAGATTAAACATTTATGCTACAACGAAATCAGCAACTACCATCACTATCTTTACATCACAATTTGCAAATAATGCTATAAAGGGATCAGATATTTCATTAACACTAGACTCTATTGACCAGTTTAACCCTAGCATCACAAATGTTTCGAATGCAAGTTATATATATATATACTCAGACAAAGCATTCGAATACAATAGGTTTTTGTAAAGTGAGAATAATATTTAATTTCTAATATATCGTTAAACTATGATTTGGTTGAACCAATGGCATCGACCAATATGAAACCTGTGTAATGTCATATGAACAACATGAAAGTAAAAGATCGGCTAATCGATAAGTCAAAAACAGACAACAATGTCATTTAAATAGCAGATTTTGTCCCAACAAGATCATATGATTAACTGTGACTTAGAATGTCTATTTAGGTCTGATTTGTCTAAAACGTCTATTTGACCCTGACTAGGTAGATGATGCTTTGATTCTGGGTTTTGATGATGAGGTTGAATTGGTAACTTCCTCGAGAAAAACCGATGGATAATGTATTTGTGCGTTTGAATAAAACGAACAAATCAACGCATTGTTAGTTTGACAAGGCTATTTGCCGTATTTGTCTCGTGAATTTAAAGTTGCGAGTGCTGAGGAATGAATGATGTTGATATCAAAAATTCTATTTATTCAAGTTCCAGATTATTATTGGAAATCTTGCAAAAAATTTATTTTGCGAGCAATTTTTGAAAGGGTCCAAATAAAATGAGGTCATATGATTTCAATTTGGCACGTGAGCATCTGGAAAAATTCTATGTTAACGTTAACGTTAAAGGTTGATTTAAAGGTTAGCGTTAGGATCAGGGTCGAGGTCCAAGGTATCTTTGTTGATCAAAATCTGCGCATCCTATTGGGTCGTGCATATCACGTGTCACTTTGCGTAGAATTTTTCGGCAGGTGAATACACCTTACGAATTAAATTCGATTTTTATACTGTCAGCCTTAGTGAATTTTACTTTAGCAATGATACAACAGTCGAAACCACCTCAACAAGGTCTATCTCATACCCAGCACCAACCACCACCTACGCAGTCTTTCTTATTACCTTCACCGACGCCATTGCCTTCTACCGCAATATTATTTTTTGTGTATCATTTGGTAGAGTATTTGAAATTTTTTCTTTTAAACAGGTTTTGAATCAAAAATGAATTTGATGAATTTGGAATGATTAATATATCATCGAAATTGAAGAAATTTTGATTTTGTATCGATCTTTTTTTTTTGCTGAACAAGGATTTTTTAATTCTGTTTTATTATTAACTGTATAAAAAGGAGGAGATCTCTATTTTATTCACTACACTATGTTGTAGGAGGAGGAGTGTCCAAATAGATTAACGAAATATTGAATTGCTTATTCAATTTATTATTTATCTAAAATAAGGTCTGGTATCGACCTATTATCACAGAAAATCTAGCAGTAGAGTATTTCGAGAAATTGCAATATGTTCAGGTACAACAATTAAATAATTCAAACTTTCAAATATTGTTTCATTTTTTGTGATTTCGTCATCACGATTTTTACTTCTCTAAATTAAAAAATAATTTTTCTAAATTACAAGAATTATCCAGATTCAATCTTTTATCTGCATTTATGGATATCAGCGTTAACTGGATTGGCTGAATCTTGCGCTGGGGGAAGTGGATGTGGGTTTGATAATATTCCAGTGAATAACAATAATAATAATAACAGTGAAGATAATAATAAAAATGTGGATAATAGTAATAACAGTTCGTTGTCCTCGACATCTTTTAATTTTATTACTTTTGGACACTCGATTTTATGGAAAAGTTTTGTATTGGTTAAAGTATGTACATTTCACTTGTATTTTGATTGTGATTTGTTTAATTATTTACTAATTTAGAGAACTTTAATTTGACAACGAATTATAAAGCTTCCGTTATTAATTGAAAAGCTTGAATCACGGAAAATGGAGGAATCATGGTTAGAAAAAGATGTAGTTCAAATGGAGGAAATTAAGGTTTGTGTTTGTGTTGGAAAAAAATGCATTCTTTTTTGGTTCTACCTTAATCTATTTATATAGAATCGATGTCATGAATCTGTAATTGGCGAGTTATTCGGGTTCACTGGACTAATAAGTGCGTGTAATAAACAAGTAGTACCGGGATCTAATAGTGATGATAATAGTAATAACAATATGATACAGTAAGCAAAATTTTAATCCTTGCATCATTTTACTGCATTATTATTTATTTTTTTTTGCTAAAATCTATGAATTAAATTATCGATCAAACAGAGACACAACAAACACGTTTGACATATCCGTTGACATATTAAAAGTATGTCTTAAACGTAGATTAGTACGACGAGAATTCGTCGTTGGATTATTGAAGGATCGGGCTGTGGAGCTTGAGTGGGAGGGAATGGATGCTACGGTAATTTGGGATTAAATAATATGTTAACTATTTTCCAGATAAATTTTGTTTCTTTGCTTTCTACGTGGCACTAACAATAATAGCTAATATAATATTTCAAAAAAGGATAGGGTCCGGATGCATTATCGGTTGCAATTCTGGCCGACCCGGTGATGATAGATCATTTGGTAGCTACTACTTTGCCGCAGTATTTTGATCATGAATCAAGGGTGGCGACAATAATGAAGGTATGAAAAAGTTTATTGAAAAATATCTTTTATTAATATTAATTTGCACAATAATTTAAAAAATAATCAAGATGTATTTTTCTCTAGTTAGTTTCAACGTGGAGCGCAAATAAAGCCATGCAACCACTAGCGATACTATGCCGCGCTCTAATTGAAAATACCGCATTACTGGATCTGGTTCATTTGTATCGACATCCTGCTGATTTATTGGCGCCTTTAGAACAGTTGTGTAATAGTTGGGACAAAGAAGTCTCGTCTTCTTTGTCATTATCATCGTCGACAACTGAGAGTGGAGTGGGTATGTAATTGAGCTTTTAATATCGTGAATTACTCATTTCTTTTACTCTTTCTAAACTTTATTATTTTCTACAGATTCATATAAAGAAGATTACGAAAATTTTGGAATTATTTTTTTGCTTATTGTTGCTGTGATTGCGCGATATGATGTAAGTGATTATTTTTTTTATTAAGATTTTTATTATGCTAACTAACATGATTCTTTATTAATACAAAAACAGCTATACGCTAATATATCTGAAATACTGCACGATAAACAAGGATTTATTTATACATGGCTTCATCAACCCTCTATCACGTATTCTCTTGACACACTTGATATCGAACATCGAAATCTTGTCTCACATTTCATTAATTTTATCTTGTCTTCTAACAATAACGCGTCATCGTTAAACTCTGTTCCTGACGATCTTCTAAAGTATTACTTTTCTCCTACTATTAGAATACAACAATGAAAATAATATAATTAAAAATAATATTAATTTATCTAGAGAATCAAATCCAAGATCACTAATACAATTTTCACCAACCATCTTTCAACAACATATCTCTGCACAAGAACTGGAACCAAACGAAAATGTTAGGCTGAAAACGATGACGACGGACTTTAATTTATTCTTGGAACCTTGTTTCTCTTTTTGCTTAATCGGAGCTCTTCAATGGTTGTGCAATGATGCTTTGTTAAAAGGGTAAGTAATCTATGAGATATTAAAGTATATAATATTCATGGCATCAAATTGAGATTTTATTCTTTCTTTCTGAAAATAGACAGCTTTCGTTATCCTTTGGAGTAATTAAATCCTTATTGTCATCATCGTCATACGAAAAAATTCCATCAGTTATAAAAAGTCTGGTAGGTTCTCGTGTTTTGGACGTCTTGCAAAAACCAGCGTACATGATGGACACGGAAATTGCTCCAATAACAGAAAAAATTAGGACACATCTTGCTCTTAATCCGGGTAAAGTAAAAAAAAAAATAACAAATTCAACGAAAAAAAATTCTGAAGCTCTATTATCTATTTACACTACCAACTACTTTCCACAATCTAGTGATAAAACGACGTAAATATTCTGCAACAATTATTTTCGATAGATTTAAAAGTATCTTTAATTCGATTGTTGTCAGTGGACGTAGAAAATTTATGCTCGATGAAGATGATGACAATTATGATGAAAACATTGTTGACGATGATGATGATTATTATCACCGCCGCGATCATTGTCAACCACCACTAATACACCATTTCGAAAATGATTTGTTTCGGGAGGTTTTGCAAGTTGGTGGGCCTCACGTTTTTGTGAGACTAATTTTCGAGGTAAGCTTAGATATCAATAACCATGTTTCTTAGATATGCGATATTAATTTTTTTATCTATATACTTTTTTAGGAAGTTTTATCTGCATCTAAGAGTAGCATAAGTTTACGTGCAGGTATGTAGGAATTTATTTTATTTTATTTGTCATTTGACAACTAATGATGTAAATTACTTATAATATGAAATACAGCTGAATTAGGAGCATCATTACTTATAACACAACTCACATACTCGAACAATCCACATCTCCACCCAACAACTCTAATTCATATACTATTCACCGAAACACTTGCCTCAACATTCACAAAAAAGATCGAATCATATGCCCAAGGATTCACATTAGGTCTTTTATCGATGCATGTTCTTTTGCGTACAGATATTTTTACGCTGGTGGTTGGCAATAAAACGCTGTATGAACATTTTCGCGAGAATGTCTTGGTAAAGTTCTCTCCCTCTCAGACTTCTGATGATGATGATGATGATGATGAGAATATGATGATATTAGATCGTGGTGATAAAATTGATAAGCTTAACAATAAAAATGATAACAATCATGAAGAGGATCGTTTTAAGGTCCCAAGGTATTCTCCGGTAAGAGGATTTGCGGATGGGTTGTTATCGCATGTGGAGTTGTTGGATAAAGCTCCGGAATTATTGAAATATTTGAAGGAAGAATAATTGATCATGTATTCAGGTAATTTATTTTTCGATAACGCATAGCATGAAAAGATTACAGTAGTAAATTATGTAATAATTATTGCACGTAATATGTCTACCACCTCTTTATCTACTTTTTCACTTGTATTTTTGAAGAAGAAAAATATTTTGGCGGTAATTTAATTTTGCACAGCTGTCCACACCAATCCACTCTTTGTTGTTATTTCAATAATCAATAGATTAATTGGTAGAGCGTTGGTTCTATTTTCTGTGCTGTTACAAATTTTGTTATTCGAACAATTTTACTATATATCAGTAAATAAAGAAATTTGAGACGGTAAATTTTTATTTCCTTGCATAATTTATGCGTCAATGCGCTAAATTATATTAAACATACAAATAGCTAGCCAAATGGTAATTATATCAAAAAAGAACTTTTTGGCAAGAACTTTTTTTTTGATTGAATAACAAGTAATAACATAAAAGTCATTTTGGGAGTCAGTTTATGCAATTGAAATTAACATGTAAAGTTGTGACTTGCATCCAAAATATTTATGGTTAGATTGAAAAAATAAAATTGCTGGCGTTCTTATAATTATAAATAGTAACCCATCAAAATTTTCGTAACGTGGCAGAAACGTAGTGTATTTTGTGGGAATGGAAAGATATCGAATATCGACCAACTATGTAAAGCCCGCTGTTTAAATTTACTTTTATCATGTAAACCAAAATATATGATCAAACAATTTCCTAAATCATAGAAATATTTATTCTGTCTTGTAGCTTATAACTTTTTCTTGCTTAATTGTTATCAAAGCTCACAATCAATTTCTGGATTTGCACCTTTCGGGTGTATTTTAGAGGTTCATGGATTGTTTATTAGGAAATAGCCAGATCAGTCTTTAACGGTTAGAGTTGATCAATGATCACAAATGACGCGTTTTTTTCGCAATAATTGATTACAAGCATGCAACCTACAACCAAAGCTCCAGAAGAAAAACCCATGGAATGCATTTCAGTAATTAACATTCCAGTCTCTTCTCCTTCGCCCTCACCTCCGCCCGTAGATGCCTCGAGTCCGACAATACTCGCCATTCAAACCCGTCGTTCTAAGCGTCGTCTCAATTCTGAAATCTCGACTCAAGACGATACCAAAGCGTCAAAGTCAAGTTCTTCCACGTCTAAAGGAACCTCACCACAACCTACAGCTAGTTCTTCGTATACTATTACAAAGACTTATAAACGTCAGAAAACCATTTCAGCAGAAACAAATGACGCGTTCGCAAAAACCAAAGCTTCCTATGCTGCAGCAGAATTAGCGAGTCTCGGTCCCCAGCATCACGATGAAAAGATCTTTAAAAATTTTCGGTTGCGTCGTATAGTCAAAGAAAATCATGGCCATGATATTAATCAGTTGGCGTTCTTTTTCAATCTAAATAATTATGATGCACCGATTGGATCCGAATATCGTAAGGATTATAATAAGCATGGACATGTGGTTCGCGATGTAAGCGATACGAGTAATATATTGTCGAGCGTTGGTGATGCGCAGGTTTGTCATGATTTTTGAGAAAATTAAAGGGAGAATAAATGCATACATATTAAGGTCATGATCAATTTTTTTCCGTTATGAAAGGCAAACATTTACGATAATGAGCACTGTGGTGATCATTTGGATATCATGTCGAATTTCTCATTAGAGGATGAATCAGGAAAGAATTTCAACGTATCAGTATGTAGTTTATTTAGTTGATCAAAAAAAAAGAACGTTACAATCTATGATCCAATTTTTGTTGTTTAGTTTACTTTTCCATTTTTTATATTTTAGGAACTATTGACTTGTTGCTGGTTACATAGTCCAAACGATGCTTTGTTGGCAGTCGCTGGCAGATCCAAAATAATCTACATAATAAGCCTTGCGACTTCGTCTACTTTAAGAGAATTATCTGGTCACGAAGGTCTCTTAATAATCTATAGTGAATCATTTTTTTATCGTTCTCGACGGGAAAATTAATAGAGCTTCCTCTTTCAACGTAGATACAATCATTGATATCACTAAGCATCCAAAGGACGACCTGCATTTATTATCAGCATCCAATGATAATACCGTAAGATTATGGAATACAGATACCAGTCAATGTTTGTACACATTTGAAACTAGTGCATCAGCGATAGTGGGTGCTCAGTTAATATTAATAAAATCTCTATTAAATAACACTCAGGGCTTCTTAATAATTCTTGAATTCTTATCTTTTGAAGTGTTGGCATCCCTCAGGTAAAATTTTCTTGACCGGAAGCTACAAAGGGCACATTTTACAATGGTTGATGCCAGATCGATCACTTGATTCTGAGAATACTCGATGTTTTACGGAGAAAGATCTTGTGATCAATATGAGTGAATTACACATGGATGCGATAGGTTTTTATTTATATGCTATTTGACATTGGCGTTGAAGCTGTTAATCTGACTTTTATCATAAATATAGATTGTATGCGTTTCGTCAATGGCAATGTACTGACAAAGTCAATAGATGGTAAGTTAGAACATTGGAACCCAGAAACAATGTACATATACAAATCATATAACATCAAGAACGGCTCAAATAATCGATCACGATTTGACGTGAGGTTAATATGAATTTCATTATCGATTTATTCTGAAACTTTTTTGAGCAATTTATAATAACGATGCTTTTTAATTCACACTCCTGTCTTAGCTTGGATGGTTATTTTTTTTGTGTTGGTACAAATATCGGTAGCGTGTGTGTTTATAACTTAAAAACGGGAAAGTTGGTCACTGAACTTCGGCATCGACGTTCAATCAAAGCGGTCAGATGCTGTGCGTTTACCAGAGATTACAAGTATGTTGTCGATTAGGTTTGATTTCTGATTTTCTCGATGTATTTACTATTGATACTTTCTTTTTTTTTTTGTATCGATGAATAAAAAGACAAATCGTAGCAGGTGGAGAGGAATCTTTTATTTGGAGATATGATTATGTTAGCAATGAAACCTTGGAAGAATGGGAAAAGTGGACATCCTCGGATTGAGCAAAATAAATTTTCTCATTAATTTTATAATATAAACACGCGACTTTTTAATTAATGTCTATTGCATAATCGTTGTAAAACTTTTCAGCCGAGCTTATTATTTCAGAGTATATCGATCTTTGATATCTTTCCATTGTTTCTATATTGAAAGAATCGCAATTAAAAATTGAGAAACAAATTTCGTGATTGTTGAAACTAAATTATATTTCATTTACCCCCTTGTTTAAGTTATCCCAAACTTTGTCAGAGACAGAGTCAAAGACCAATTCAAAAGTGAACGCGGTTGCAAATATACCTACAAGGAAAACCGAGTTTCGACGAAATATGCCCTGATATGCTATGCGTGAAAATCTTTTTTTTTTTTTTAGAAAAATAAGTAATTAATATTATATCTATACTGATATTAAAGAGTATATGCACACCTGTTTAAAGTAGAATTACGTCCTGAAAGGTCTACCATTTTTGTCAGATATATTTTGAAAGCAAGTCTTACAAGTTTTTCCTTTTATGCTTTTCAATTGTCATGTGATTCTCCTGTTTGACAAATACATGTTGGACAAAAATTCTCGAAATTTCGCGTACAAGTTATCTCTATATTGTGAACAATGTCTTCGCCCACTGGAGAATCAGAATCACAGATCATTGTTAGTAGAAGCAGTAGTAGTGAAAGAGGTGGAAGGGGTGGCGATGGTAATGTCAATGATAATAATGTAGTGCCAATGGATGCTGTTGTTCCATCAGAAAAAGCGGATGTAGCTTCAAGCTCGGGCGGGGGAAGAGAAGGTGTAACGGATGAAAGAGTTATCGCTGTTACCTCAGCAAAAGCCGAAACGAGTGAATCAGGTGCTCGAGGAGGTAGCAATTCGGAAAGTGGGAGAGCTGCCACATCAACTGCTGTCGCTCCTGAAAGTCCAGGGAAATCGAAGCTCATTATTGACCGGGAAAAGGTTCTGTAGCCAAAAATTAAAACTGATCTTGCACACCATGAATAAAATTGAGAATATTGACCTTCGATTTTTTTAGACATGTCCATTTTTACTTCGAATCTTTTGTCAGGAGGGAGCACATCACAAGTAAGCAAGCATGGCAAATCTCGTGCTATGAGAGCTTTAATTCTAACTTTGTTGTTTTAAATTAGAATTGAAAAGTACACAAATGACGAACAACCAGTGCAGGATGAAGTACAAATATATACATGGTGAGTCAAATATTTTTATTTGATTATTTTTGCCACTACCATAATTCAAATGTGTATTTATTAAATTTAATAGGAAAGATGCGACACTCAAAGAACTGGCCAACTTAATTAAATCAATTAAACCAGAAGCACAACGAATTAACGCACGAATCTCTTTCAAACTTGTATACCAGGACCAATTACGGAATTGTTACATGTTCAAATATCTAGGACTGGTAATGAACTCGCGTAGTACCGTTGAAGAAAACACTAATCTCGATGACGCCCGATTCGTCATTGGTGATTTTTTAGACGTAGCCGTGTTCTACGGAATCGCGCCGCCACCACCACAACGAAGCCTTGAACGACGCTCGAGTAACTTCGGACGGGATTCTTTACGAGATCGTGTCGTTGGTAGTGGTCGAGATCGAGACCGGGATCGAGATTCTGGTGGTGGTAGTAGTAGTAGATTGTTTCGCGGTGCTATTGGAGGAGGAGGACGCGATGCTCGAGAACGTAGGGATCGTGAAAGGGCTGCTGATCGGGATAGAAATGGTGTTAGAATTACTGATCGAGATCGAGATCGTGGAGGACGAGAGGGTGGCAGATCGTCGTTTAGAGATAGACGGAGATAGTAAAAAAAAATTATATAGACTTATTCGAGGAAGGTATGAATTCTTTTGTTTTTTTTTTTATGATTAATTTTCTGGAAGCTATCCACAACTAATAAATACTATTCAGCACAAAATTTTCATACAGTAATTGATGTTAAACTTTAAAAGAATTTTTTTTACAATAGATTAAATAATATTTGCAAGCTGATATCCAAAAACAGATCTTGAGGTATCTTTGTAAAAAGAGAAAGAAGAGAAACAGAGCAAAATATAAATACGATGATATCCAAGAGTAAAAAATCTCCGCGAAGAAAACACTGCTCAAATTCTCCCCTTACACCCAATTCCTTTGAAAAACCGCTACAAAATTCAAACCATATCATCATCATCATCATCATCATCATCGTCATCATCATCATCATCATTTTCTTCCTCATTTCTTTATCTCAGGTTGGCTATTTCTCATTTGTTTGCTCCAATCAACTGATTTCTAGAATCAAATATCAACATCCAAAATCATTATAATATCCAGAAACATATGTAAATATCTTTTTTGAACAAACTTGATATTAATAATATTATTACATCGTATTTCGAAGAGACGTAATAAACTGCGAGAGGAAACGCGACAACAAAGACAAATGCTTGTCTCATAGTACGACGCGTCCAACGAAAGTTTGGTGTAATGTTGGTGGTGCGCGCTTCAGCCCAAGCTTCAAAAGCTGGGTCAACTTTCAGGTCTATTGTTATTGATAGTGTAAAAAAAATAACGAGTGAACAAAATTATGCATATATAATATTGCAAAAAAATGAAGATAATCTAAATGCTTTATATTACTAGGACTGTCTTTTGCCATTTATTATTTTCAGTTTGAGATTGGATAAATCGAAATGAATCGTATAGATTAAAATTCGACATCTATTTATATTTCGTTTCTTAGCATTAGTGTAACAAAAAAATTTAATTTGGCATCAAAGTAAACGCGCGTCCTATAACGCTGTTGATCTTAAAGTTCCACAAGATGATGTAGCCGAAATTAGAGCAACACGAAAATCTATAAGAAATAAATGTCTCGTTCTCTTGACGAATTCTTGAGCAAGCATGGTCTCAAAATCACCCCAAATCCCATTTCTCATAGAACAATAACCACAACTCGTTCATTTCGAGCAGGGACGACTATTATAAAATCATATCCATTAGCTGCATTTCCACTTCCAATATATGAGAAAGAATTGTGCAATCAATGTTTGAAAAATACAAAGCTTCAGGCCTGTTCTGCATGCAAAAAAGCATTCTACTGTAGCTCGATTTGCCAGAAACAAGCTTGGTTTACACAACATAAGTTTACTTGTAAAAAACGGCTACCACTTAAATATGAAAACATAGTTGAAGGCGCTGAATTAGATGAAGAAATGCTTCGACGTGTTGCATTGCTTATTTCGCCGCATCGAAGTGGTAACAATGGTCTTGGTGATTCTAAACTCAATGGACTGTATGACATTTTGCCAAAAGAAATGAATATTTCCCTACTTATTGAAGTTTTTGAGGCATTACAATCGCATAAAGAATCCCATCCTCCTTATGCACTGTTTCGTTACGAAAGCATTGCATCATTAGTCGTTGAGAATAGCAATAGCAAAGCATCAAAAGACATTGATAAATTAGTAAGTTACTTGTGTATATTCGGGTGCAATAATTTCACGATTCACGATGAACAGATGTTTGGAATTGGGGAAGGCACATATCCAATTGGGTCATTGTTCAATCACAGTTGTCATCCCAATGCTGTTGTCATGTACGATGGTGTTGTTCAAATTGTTAAGTGTATTGAAGACATTGATGCGGGCGATGAAATTACAATTGCTTATCTCGATGTAGTTCACCCGAGAAGAAAGAGACGTGAAATTTTGAGGGAAAAGTATTTTTTCAATTGTCATTGTAGGAAATGTGGTGATGACGATAAAATAATAGGTAAAAAAAGCATCACTACGCGTCATTTTCAAGACATTTACGTAATTGAGAAAATTGATGTTATTATGGAGAAGGAATTAAATGATTCTTTGGATTTTTCTGATTATAAGGAATGGATAATATCTGAACTCGAAAACTTCAAAATGCAATCAGGAAATCACTTAAAAGATGAACATACGGGGAAACCCTCAATTTTATTTTTTTTGACCAACCTCGTACTTTACTCCATTTTACCCCAACTGGACAATAATTTTGAAAAGTATATGCAAACCTTTGATACTCTTTTAAACTCTATACACTCTTCCTTTCCCTCCTCCTCCTCCTCCTCGCCATCCGACTTTCCCTCAATATTAAACCCTTTTTCAACTAATACCCTTCCAGTTGTCGCATCATTATTTTATGAATTAGAGAAGAAACAAGAATGGAATGAGGCTGCCAAAGTTGGAAAAATTGTTCTGGCGATATATTTGATCGCGTATCCTCGATTTCATCCAATGATTGGATGGCAATTATTCCGATTGGGACAATGTATGAGTCAATGTGTTAAAGATGACGTTGACAGAGGAGGAAAAACGAGAGAAGAAACGTTAATCATTTTGAAACATGCTAAACGTGTTTTAGCAATAACTTTTGGCACGGAAATTGAGAATCGTGAGGTTGAAAATGAGATTCATTTGTTGATATTGCAAATGACAAAACTGCAATTTCAATAGATTAAAATTTGCAAATAGATCTTAAGCCGAATTTCGGGTTTGCATGTTCATCACCTGTTATTTATGTATTCAAACTGTATGCGTAAATTTATTGTTTAAATCTATTAGTTCTGACATTTAAATAAGCGGGTTGCTATATTAATACATTATAGAGATAGAAGGAATAATGAGACGCAAATGCAGCTATTTTTTTGCTCTGAATTCTTGAAGCGTGCGCATTACGAACATGTGTAATCCTGGCATTTATTGGATGATGTAAAATTAAAAGTCACAATAATATTGGTTCCTTCACGTTTCTATCGACTCCCTCTCACTTACATAACGCCGTGCTATTATTATTATCATCTATAGATTATATTTATATAATTGGAATCAAATTATAATAACAGATGAAGATAACCCCCTCGTATCATATCCTATTCCTTACATCATATCGGATACGATGCAAGAAAAATATGGATAGAATGGGTATTTTGCACGGTAAATTACGGTATGTTAATTAATTTACTACGTGTTTCCATGTTGCTTATATTTTACATCTCGTTGCAAAAGATTCAGTTTCACCATAGCATTATAAGTCCGTAACAACAACATGTTTTCCAACGAATATTTTCCAACTTTTTTATCTTCACCATCCAGCACTTTCTTAAATTCTGCTTTTGCCTTGCTGAATTCTCGCATGTTTATGTACAGGCGGCCAAGTTCGTAGCGCGCATAGTGTATCAAGTAGTGGTCTAAATGTATCTTTGCGCCGTTCTTGACGACGTATTGGAGAGATGCTATTGCAGTTGTACAGGTTGATGCGAGGTTATCTTTGCTGTGTTTTAATCTCTCCTCATTCTCATGACTGACATTATTTGGGAAAGCGATTTGTGCAGTAATCACGCCATGGAGTAAATACGTTAGACAGACATCATCCCAGAAATTATCGTAATAGTCTTCTTCTTTGGTTCCGTCCAGGTCGTCGATTGTACTCTCAATGTTTGATAGGGATTTTGTAAGCTGTGCTAAGGGCATGATATCATATGTATTCCACAAATATTTCAATTCGCAAGCAGGTAAAAGAAGACGATATTCTTGGGCGAAAAATTTGCGAGCTTTACGCACAACAAATTTCTATTAATTGAGTGAATTATTTATTAAACAGAGTAAATTTAATGCAACCATTCAACCATTAAATAGATGCAATCAATCAATCATTTATTTATTTGATTCAATCGGTTGATCAACAGATATATATTATTATATTACCTCCAAAGGAATCGATTTACCTGCTATACGCTGGGTCAATTCGGGTACTTTTTTCATCATTTGAATCACACGATCCATATCTTCAGGTCTCCCCAAAGTATACAAACAAACAGCCTGCTGGTATAAGTAAACACATTTACTCCACATCGACTCTTCGCATAATGTCTCGAAACATTCATAGGCACGTTCAAAATTCATCAAACACTGATAATTCAACGCCATCTCCCAATAACACATATGATGCAGTTGTTTCCACTGTCTCTGAATCTCAATGGCCTTTTTATACTGCACGATCGCTTTATCAATATAACATTCAGTTTGATTTAGACGTCCAGAGAAATAAAGGAACAACACGCCATTCGGATACCGCTGTAGATTGTAGTCGAGAATTTTTGATGCAAACGAGATATCAGTATCTACAACCGGCACAAGGTTACTGATTACCAGGTGATATGCAAGTAATGCTAAATCGCAAAATTGTCGACGTATTCCTTCTTCCTCAATATCTATCTCTGAGCTATTATGATTATTATCGTGACCATTCCCATTACTACTGCTAGAATTAGGAAAATCATGTCTCCATTTACCACACGATTCCAATGTTCTTAAAGCTAAGCTACGATCACTTGTGAATCCAACAAATTCAATAATTTTCAATATTCGCGGTGGTAATAACGAGAGCATTAGATTAAACATCCCGATACCCAATAACACCCCCGAGGTGAAATGATTATCCATTTCAAAGTTCTTCGTATCTTTTTCACCTTTTTGTACACACTCCAAAAAATTTGCTAAATTACGATATATCATATAACTATTCCTAATATTAATGCCCTCTCTTATAAACGATACAAATGCATTATCGTGAATTATACAAAGGGTTGCTTTTAGTAAATAAGCCTCAGCATAGACTAATTCTGCATGCTGTTGAATTCGACCCATCGATTTCAGTGAACTGACGCCAGCGGTTCCTCCTCTTACAAAATTCGAGATAGATCCAATTATTGTATCTCGTTTACGTAAAGATGATGCTATTTGCACGGTAACCTTTAGTGCTGAAATAGCTTTCTCAATATCCGTCGGTTCATAGGTCATTAGTGACTTTAAAAAGATTAGAAAAGAGTATCCTAACGAATGATATAATGACGTTTTACTCTTGACGGAGAGCAAATTTTCAGCTTCATTTATTCTCGAGTTCAAAAATAAATCCAAAGCTTGTCGTACTTCACGTAAATCATTATCCAATTCTGTCTCTGTTATATTTGAGATTGGTGGTATTAAACTCATACTTCAAATTAAAATATAAAATGTTTTCTTTCCCCAACTTTATTTATCGATTTTATTTTTTTCAAATAATAAATATGTAATGTCATATTAGGTACTCTTTCAACCAATAGTATCGATTATAGATTTCTAAACTGCATACAAACACTGCATCCATGTAAGTGATCTAGATTTCTGGATATCTGGAATTTTCTCTGCATACAATAACGATAACGAAATTATTTTGACAATGTTTTAGTGGTTTTTTGTTTTCGCGCGTAATTTCTTGTGGATCTATATTCTTCTTATTTAATAACGATTGTTTCCCAAGAAATTCCATGAGAAAATTGACGTTTTTGCCACTGTACAGTTTCGAAACTGCCCAAAGAATTTGGATCTATATGGATAACAGGAAAAAGCTTAATCGGAGGATATATTAAAGCTCCAATCGGTTCGGGTCAACCGGAAACCCGACCCGAAAATCCCGGTTCGGGTCAACCTCAAACCCGACCCGAAATATTTCGGGTCAGCCTAAAAATCATTATTTCTCGTTCAATATTAATTGAAATTAAACGAAATTTTGTGTATATATACACAATTACATTCCAAACAACTCTATTTAAGACACAAATACAAATGTCTTAGTAAAAATAAAAGTTATTAACGAAAAAAATATTTTACGATTTTCGAGTCTTTAAACAAGTCTAAATATATTATCACATGATTTATTTTATTTTAATTGGATAATTAATTTACATGTGATTTGTAGATCACATCCCTTTTATTTCATATTATCGTTAATACAAATAATCCTAATATAGAAAACACATGTTAATTGATCAACATTAATATTAATCAAATTATAACAGATAACTTGTATAAATATAACATATATTGTTATCATTTCCAAAGTTATTATTTATGATGATAATTCTAAAATATAATGATTGATTGTGTTCATGTGAAAGATCAAATTATTGAATTATCAAAACTTATAATTTAAATATCAAATAATAAAATAATGAAGTTAGATATAATTTTAACAAAAAATTAATGAAATTAAAATAAATAATTATCAAAACTTTCCTGAAGTACCAGTAATAATGATATACAGTCAAATCTCTTTATAGTCATCACTCTCAGGAAAGCAAAATTTGGTGATTATAGAGGAGTTGTGACTATAGAGAGATTTTTTTTACTATGTTTATATGTAAATGAAAAAGCAAAATAGGATAATTATAGAGAGGTGTGACTATAAATGAGTGTGACTATAAAGAGTTTTGATTATTGTTGTATAATGAAATTTCACATTAATTATTAGTCAAAATTATCATTTAATCTTATTGGATAATTTTGAGAACACATGTTTATATTTAAT